CTGACGAGAGAGGCTCGAAACTAGAGGCCCTCATCCGGGCGTTCGGGTTAAACGTCGTTAATGACGCGAAGCAGCCTCCCACGTACTGGACCACTAGAGGCTCCTCCTATATTGATGTTACATTATCTTCACAATCCATGAGCCGACTCGTAGGCCAATGGAAAGTTAGAACCGGATGGACATCCAGCGATCATAATTCGATCGACTTCGCGATGCATTCCCCAAAGGCAGAGCAAGGACGCGGGGGCAGCGCGCGAGGCGCGGGAACCAAATGGTTCAACACCAGGAGGGCCGATTGAGACCTGTTCGCTGGGCGCCTGCTCTGCCTCACCGCGGCTAGGCTGGATGGAAGTACCTTAGAATCGGCTTCAGACGTAGAGACACGAGCCAAGGCGCTCACCAGTGTCCTACAAACCGCATGCTCGGAGTCCATGCCATGGAAAAAGACTCACCGAAAGTCCAACCCGTGGTGGACATCCGCGTTAACCATTCAAAAGAAAGCGGTCTTCTGGAAAAGACGAGGGCACCAAAAAGAAAAAGATCTCCAGGCGCGTGATAGGTTAATGCGCGAATATCGTTCGTCGCTGCGAGATTACAGCAAGGCGGTACGCCGCGCGAAATTAGAAAGCTGGCGGAAATTCGTAACGGAACAGGGTAACGCGGACCCGTGGGGGTACATTTATAAACAGCAGGCGGGAAAACTCCGCGTAGGAAAAATGTTAAACACCCTCAAGCGGGAGGGTGAGAGGACCACAAATGTTCGCGATACGGCTAGAGTCCTTCTCAACACGCACGTCCCGGATGACAGTGCGTCCGAAGACACGACGGAGCAGCGCGCGATGCGCAGTACATCTCGAAATGTCCCTGATACGGAAGATGCCCCCCTCTTTACAGAGGAAAAAGTCGCACTTGTGATAAGATCACTAAGATACGGAAAGGCCCCGGGGCCTGATCTTATAGAAGTATGCGTGCTCAAAAGAGCATTCAGCGTAATCCCGACGCAATTTACAGATCTTTTCAACGGATACCTCAAATGGGGCATATTCCCATCCATTTGGAAGGAGGGCTCCTTACGAGCCCTTCTCAAGGGCGTGGAAAAGGACGCGGAAGACCCCAAATCCTATCGACCCATTTGTCTTCTCTCCGTGATAGGGAAAGTCCTAGAAAGGCTGCTCAAGTTGCGCCTCAGTGAAACATCCCTAGCCACGGGAAAACTCTCGGACAAACAATTTGGTTTTGTCCAAGGTCGCTCCACCGAGGACGCGATAGTAGAGATGCGCTGTATCGTTTCTGCTTCCTCACGGAGATATGTCATTGCGTTGCTATTCGACATCTCGGGAGCCTTCGACAATGTCTGGTGGCCCTTAGTTCTTAAGGCACTCCGGGATCGAGACTGCCCGAGAAATGTCTTCAACGTAATGACGAGTTACTTCGCGGACCGCCAGGTCAAAATCACCCTAGGGGAACAAGAGGTTTCCAAGCAGGCTTCGAGAGGATGCCCGCAAGGTTCAGTCCTGGGTCCTTCCTGCTGGAATCTAATGTTTGACCAGCTCCTTCGGTTACTAGAGGAATCATCGGAAGTCAACGCGATCGCGTACGCGGACGATTTACTCGTCATATTAGACGGGGACTCCAGGAAGGAACTGGAGGAGAAAGGAAACCGCGCGGTTGAAAGCATCACCGAATGGTGCTCGTCGGCGAAACTGACGATCTCCGAGCGAGAAACCGAGGCGATAGTACTTAAAAGCGATTGGGTTAAGAGGAAACCCATAGGTAGGAGGGGTGGGTTACGCCCGGACCGTAAGCGTAAAACGACCACAAGGAAAACAGATTTAGTCGGCAGGCCGCCCACCATCAAAATAGGGAATAACTCTATCAAGTTTAAGAATTCCGTTAGGTACCTCGGGATACACTTTGACAAAGGGCTGGGGGTCACATCTTATTGTCGGTACATTAGCGACAAAGTGGGACCGCTCTTCGCGAAGCTAGGTAGATTAGCAGCAAGAGAATGGGGACTCCGCCACCACGCCTTGCAGACGATCTATCGCGGCGTCTTTACCCCTACGGTTACGTATGCGGCAGCGGGTTGGTCGGATCTCTGCAATGAAGGAGATCTTAGGAAACTAACCGCGACCCAGCGATCGGCTCTCATTTCGGTTACTTCGGCGTATCGAACAACCGCGACGGAATCCCTCTGCGTCATAGCGGCGGAGCCCCCGATCGATCTCCAGCTTTCAAAACGTAGGAAATTATACGAAGCCAGGAGAAATAGAAACACCGAACTAACGACGCGACAACGGGAAGGCACGAGGAACAAACGCGAGATAGTTAGGAATGCTAATGAGGATATTTACAGGATTTGGCAAGCCAGGTGGGAGGTTTCCAGGAAAGGAAGGACCACCTATGCATACTTCCCGGACATCAAGGAAAGGATGGGTGCCCGCTTCGTCTCCACTAATCATTTCACGACTCAGCTTCTTTCAGGACATGGAGCGTTCAAGGCCAAACTGAAGGAGCTTAATGTCATCCCAGAAGGAACCTGCAAGTGTGGTGAAGAAGACACGGTTTCGCACCACATCATGGACTGTCCGGTGTTCGAACCCCAGAGAGTGGCTCTGGAGGAAATTCTCGGTGGAAGGAGCTGGCCAGAAGCAGCGAGACATCTTGTCTCCACAGCTGAGGCCTTCTCCCTTTTCGCCAAGTTTTGTAAAGAAACCCTCCTAATCAAGGGTTGTTAGTTTCGTAAGTCCTGTTCAGCTGGGATCGTCGGAGCCCCGGTGATGGGGGTGGGATCCAGTAAGCATCTCAGGTAAACCCACCCTTGAACAGGACAGGGTCGGAGAAGCTCGTGCGCATCTCCCTTTTTTTTTTTCTCTCAACACTCACCCAAATCTCTCCCTATACCTTACATCCTTCCAATCCCATCCCATCCTACGGAACGAGTACCAAGGGTCGTGGTACTGTGAGTACCACGTGGTTCCCCGTGAGCACTGCTGGCATCAACGTGGCGATTCGTTGCCACGAGTATGTTGGTCGTAGCTAAACCGCTCACCCTGCCCGCCGGCAGTAGATTTGGGTTTTTCCGAATCCGTTCCCTTCGTTGTGGTGGCTGCTAGAAGTGGATAGTTCCGTAGCGCATGCCCTAATGGGCGAGGTAGCATAGGTGTAGGCGCCCTCAGGCGTCCACCTTTACAATATACTGTTCGCCTGCAGTGGAAACAACATGGGGAGGGACTCTTCCTTATCTTATTAAGATATGCCGAGAAATAGCCATGGACAGTCATCAGCTGTGTGGTGTGAAACGTTCCGATAAAGAACGGCCACTCAATCCATTCAGCTAACCATTCGGCAATAGGCGCCCTCGCATGCAATCCCGTTGCTGCTGTTGCTCCTACGAGCCAAGTCGCTGAGACTTCCACGCTTCTACTGCCCTCCTTCTGGCAAGACCACTCAATACAGCCAAAGTACACAGGGTGAGGAGGTTCCTCCGCATCTCTAACAGCCGCATGCGTCGCCGCCAGCCGGGGTGCCAGATGAGCGAGAGGGATAATCCCTACAATCATCATAGCCGCGTGGAAGAAGACCGTTCTATAGGCACAACACACCCGGGTCGCCATCTTTCTCTGGAGGCACTGAACAGCCCGCACGATTCTCATGCCTCCCACGACGGCGTGCCACGGCACAGGCGCCCCATAAAGAAGCATCGAGTGGAGGACGCCGCTGTAGAGGCGTCGCTTCTTCTCCCTCGTCCGTGAAGGTTCGGAAGGAGCCTCCTAAGGGACTAGATGATACCCTCCGCTTTAGGGATTAGGGCCTTGAAGTGGGGCCTGAACGACATTCTTGAATATATTACTGTGCCCAGGTATTTAACGCTGGTTGTAATTTCTACGCAGACACCTCTAAGGCAAATCTTTCGGAAGGGGGCGGAACATTCCTGCGTCTGCAGATGGCAGAGACAGGGATGGCCATAGACTCAGTCTTTTGCAGCGCCACTTTAAGACCCAACCCCTCGATCTCCTCCACCAAAACGACCGAGTCATGCTCAGCGTTCATGATAGTTTCAGACAGGTCCCATCCATAGGAGGGCCGTACCATCCGCATAGCAGGCAACACATGGAGCCACCTGGCATCGGGATTCGGAGGACACTGTCATAGGCAATGTTCCATGACGTAGGGCCCAAAACGGATCCCTGTGGGACCCCACAATACGCCTGTTTTTCCACGGCGCGTCCATGTCTGTTTGTATATGTTACGGCGCGATTATATAAGTAAGTCCTGATGATGTGCACCAGATAGCTTGAAAAGTTTTTCCGCTCCAACACCCTAAAGGTAACGGCCCAGGGTAAGGAGTTGAAAGCGTTAGAGATATCCAGACACACTAGGATAATTACTTTCTTGTCCCACGTCGATGCCTACACAAATTTATTAGTATCGAGGACAGCATCTACAGTGGATCTGCCCGTCCCAAATGGTGCTAGGGTCAGAATCTCCTTTATGTAGCTGTTGAACTATACGTTCGAATAGTTTCCCTAGTTCGCCAATCACGCGTATGGGTTTACATGATCTTGGTGAGTCTGGGGGCGCATCCCTTTTGTTTTGATCAGGACGAGCCTCGCTATCTGCCACGCTGTCGGGAAACTTCCAGTCCTCAAGTATGCGGAGAAGCACCTCCCGGAGAGGGAACTTTTCTCACAGTATGTCGACGCAGCACTCACAACCACAGCTGTTATCCAATCCAATCCAGGTGCTTTCTTCCTTTTCCTTTCCTGGCGGTAGCCAAGATCTCCTCCGCAGAGATAGTTAACTTTGAGAGTGCAGGTTCCTGCGGCTCATCAGTTCCCGGTCCTCCTGGGAATAGTTCAGAGCTTATATTCTCTAGTACCTCGTCCTCCAGGGTTTCAGTTACTGGCATAAGGCATATGGTTCCCCAAGACGAATTTGTAAGTTCTGCTCCGTGGATCATCCTCTATAGAGTCCAGCAGGTCCCTCTAGGGGTTCTTCTAGGGTTCCTTAATGGCCCTAATCAGTGCCCTCCTTGCGTTCCTTCGGGAGTCCATGCACCGCACTATTTCCTCCATATTCTTCTTTTTCCAGGCTCTGGAAAGTTTCCTTACTGTAGTCCTTGCAACTGCACTAAGGTTCGTTAATTCGTACGACCACCAGTAAGTACTTTTACTACCGCGGGTTTGTACCCTCACCCGGGACATGGCAATGTCGCACTTTTGTTTCAGTGTTGACCGTGCTCACTTCACTAGTTTGTCTGTGCAGTCCGCACTGGCCGTATTCTCCCTGGATATAGTTCCACCCGTCCACTTCCCTGAAATGAGGGCACCAACCAAGTAGTCTTAATCACGGGAGCTTTTTTATGTTGTGGACGAGGAAGTTTTTTATGTTGTGGACGAGAATTTCAGACCTCTGTGGCCTCGTGACTATAGCTAAATCTAACATATAGATGGTCCGACAGGGACTCAGTCTCATCCACCCTCCAGTCCGAAAGGCGGTCGCCAGCTGCCGGCGTGCCCCACGTTAGAAATATAACGCTCAACCCTTGTGGACGAACACACATTGGACAGCCAACCTGGGTCAGCAGACTCAAGTTCATTCTGTTCGCCCAGACGCAGAGCAACTCACTCCAACGGTTACTCCTGCCTTCCGGGTCCCATCTGCTGAACCGGGCATTAAAGTTGCCAGCCACCAGCTCTGGGAGAGTGGGGAATGTTGCTAAGAGCTTTTTGATCTCATCAAGGATTCTATAAAACATGTTAATGTTCTCGCTGGAAGGAAAGTTGATCGAAACTACCAGCGAGACCCCCCATTTAATGGCTACGTAAAAACGACACCGACGCAACATGCTACAGGGTCTTTCACATTCGTCAAAACGCACCGCGGAGATTGATGTCTCTCCTAGGGATGAGAACCAACTCTCATCCCCAGGAGGAAACCACAATGGCTCCACAATGACCACAATCTCCACACTGTCTTCGCGCATGCGCTGTGCCAGCAAGTCCTGCGCACGGTGAGCATGGTTTATGTTTATCTGTAGAATAGCAGAGGACATTGTCTATGGACCCTCTGCTGCTACTACACCTATTGAGGTGCCCGGTTCACCTTATTCAACCTCCATGTCTTCATGCACTCCCCTCTTCTCGGTCACTCTCACTGTCGTCGCTGCTGTTTTTTCAGCGACATTATGCGGGTCTTCTTGGATTGTCTCAAGGCAAACAATTGGTGCCCTGCAGAAAACCTTCTCTATTCATTTTCTAGGAGGCACTACCGTGTACACCCAAGAACCGGCACGGTGGTTGGTCGGTTTCTGGCCAGCGTCTGCACAAACCGGACACTCAGGTTTATCCATGCATGTTTTGGCCAGGTGGTCCGGCTTCCCATAAATATAGCATAGGTCTATCCTATGCTTAGTGGCCGGGCACACTACAGCAACATGTCCTCGCGCCAGGCACCGGAGGCATCTGAGGTGCCGCTGCCTAAGTCCGTGCACTCTCACCAATGTCCAACCCACGTTTATCCTGCCCTTTTCCAGGGCAGCCCGGATGACGGGCACTGGAGCAGAGACAGTGGCCTCGCCTAGTCTACCCCCAAATATTCTTACTTCCCCTACATTTATAAGGTTGGGGTCCGCTCCAGAATGCACATCCATCAGCGCGTTTCCGATGACGGTCGTGTTTATAGCCGCATCCTGTTCTACTATCCTCATGGTACTTGTGCGCAGAGGGCGAGTAACCCTTGCTCCCGGAACGGCATTCCTCAAGGCCTCCGCCATCTGGTCGGCCTACTCATTTGCGCCTTTGCCTCGTACCTGTATGTAAAGGCACCCGTGAGGCCCCTCCTGCACGACATGTTGCCGATCCCTAGGTCTTTAACACTTTGCATGCGGGAAACGTATTCTTACATTTTTTGCAGTCTGTCACTGGAACGCGGTTCACGTAAAAATACGTATTTAGTAGATTTGTGCTGGATACCTGCCAACCAACACAATTCTCCCAAATGCGTATAATTATATATATGCGTGTTGTTTAAGTTGTTTGCTTTGTTTTTGAATTATTGTAAAATTTCAAAAATCGTTTATTTTTGTGATCTTGTAAAAATATCGTTCTTTTGTTAAATAATCATACAGCGTATATTTCAGTGTAAAATAAAAAAAGTTTAGTTCATAAAAACGAAGTAGTTTTCGATTTTCTTCGGTTATTCTGAATAACCAAACTTCCGTGAGATTCACGAAAAAACGCCCGCTCTGGGCGTAAGTTGACGGCAAATTATACCCACATACCAAGTGTTAATGTTTATGTTCTTCCTGGCCCGGAGGAGTGCGTCTCTGTACGTCGTCTCTTCGACACAGGATAGGAAAATTGCAGCGACTTCCCTTTCCCTTTGCCTCCTCTTCTTTCTTCCTTGCGCGCCACTCCTTTTCTTCCCCCTATTCCTAGGGACGGCCTGCTCTCGCAATGGTTCATGGTCGTTTTCTCCCTTCTTTGATGAAGTCAGGAAGGGTGCGTTCGCTTCCTTCCTCTGGACTCGTTTCCTTTTGCGGCATATAACCTCCTCAAAATTCTCCTGCGGGATTAGTGCCTCCCTCACACTTACCTGTATCGCGGGGGGTCGAGTGGTCTCAGCACGGAATGTGGGGCCTTAGTGTGGCCCACCAGCTCCAGTTGCTGCTCTACTTGATGTCTACTGCCGCTGCTGCTGCTGCTGCTGAAGCCGCTGTTGCTGGATAATGCAGACAACCTCCGTCATCATCCTCACCGACTCGATTACCTGCTGCATTTCTGGAGTCGTTGTTTGGCTCCTCTCAGCTAAGGGGTTTACCTATGCATTCCTCTTATCTTCTTTAAGACGGGTTACTTCATCCGTCAACTCGCAATTGCACAGTTTCAAGGCCCTGATTTTTGCCTTTAACTACGTCATGACCTTCTTGGTTGAGGGAGGATCCCCTGCTCCAGTTTGAATCCAGTCCATTAAGGTTTTCATTATTTTTAGCACATCATTATGGGAGCGTTTCGTCCTTCCCAAGACAGAACCATTAATGTTGGTGGATTTTCTCCTCTCATTATCGGCTACTAGGATATGATTCGTGGCGAGTTCCAGTAACCTGCAAATCTCCACCTGAGACAAGGGGGTCTCTGCCGGTACATCTTTGTTCTACCCGGCCATATCTACCCTTAACTCCTCTTCCTCTGACGAGTAGATAAGGGCCCTTGCTCGTTTGAGCGTTCTCTCCAAGATTGGTGACTTCAATCCGGAGCGCTGCATGCTCTCCACGACCCTGGCAGCCCTTTGCCACTCCCTCAAATCGCTTTTTTCTTTCCTAACCTTCCTGGCGAATTAGGTACACCACAGGCCAAGTCGCCTACCTGTGGTGCCCTTCCTGATGCAGTATCAAGAGTTTGGGCCAGTTTGCCAACCCCGAGCTCCTGGCAGTTGTTGGTTGACGACGGCGGGTGGCATGCCCTATCACCACCTGACACCGCCGTGGCGTGGGTGTCCCTCTCATGCCCGCTCATATATTTCGCTGTACTGTCCTTGATTACAAAGCAGTATGAGTAGGAGTCAGGCTCCTCAAAGTTAGGGAAAGGAACGGAAGGAAGCTAGAGAGAGAGAGAAAGAATAGAAAAAGATATGACAGAAGAACAAAGAAAGAAATAGCCGTACAAGCACATTCACACAGTCCCTCTTAGTCACCCCTTACGACAAGCAGGGAGTACTGTATGAGTATTCTGCTACCCCCTCCCCACAGGGGGTTTTGAAAGATACTAGCATAACCTTCCCTCGACTAATCGGATTATTTCCAAGTCGGACAGCCACTTTGGTTCCAGAGTAACACGAATTTGTTTCCCTAGAATAGTCAGAATATTTTCAAGATCAACAGCCGCATAATTTCGGGAATCACTCGCATATAATTCCCTCGACTAGGCGGAATAGTACCTAGTCCGACAGTCGTATTGGTCCGGGAGGCATTCGCATAACCTTCATTCGACTAGTCCCAATGTTTGCATGACCGGTGGTCGCTTTGGTTGGAGAGTAACCCGCATAACTTTCCCTCTACTATTCGTAATATTTCCAAGCACAACATTCGTATAGGCTCACAAGTCACTCGTATAACTTTTTCTGGGCTAGTCGGAATATTTATAGGTACGACAGTTGCATTGGTTCGAGTGGCACTCGTGTATTTTTCCCCCGACTAGTCGGAATATTTGCAAGTGACAAAGTCGCATTGCTTCCCAAATAATTCGCATAGCCTTCCCACGACTATTCTGTATACTTCCAAGTCCGACAGTAGTCTTGGTTCGAGAGGCCCACACATAATTTTCGTTCTTCCATTCGGAGTACATCTACGTCCACTCGCATTGGTTTGATTGACACGGGAATAATTTTCCCTCGATTAGTCGGAAGAATTCCAAGTTTAACAGTCGCATTGTTTCGAATGATACCCGCACAAATTTTTTTCGTCAATTTAAAATATTTCCAAGACCCATAGTCGAATTTGTTCACATGTTTGCTCTCATAACTTTCCCTCGACAGGATGTAATATTTTTAGGTCGAACCTTCGTAATAATTCGACAGGTACTCATGTAACATTCCTACGAATAGGAATATTTCTACGTCCAACAGTCGCATTGGTTCGAGTGGTACTTGCATATATTTCCCTCGGCTAGTCGGAATATTTCCGAGTGCCACTAGTCGCATTGGTTCGAATGGCACCCGGATAACTTTCCCTCGACTAGTAGTAATGTGTCTATGTCCGACAGTCCCATTGGTTCGAAATTCTCTCACATAATCGTTCTTCGACTAGACGAAATATTAATTAGTACGATAATCGAATTTGTTTCATGCGAATGTTTCTCTCATAACATTTCCAGTACTAGTTGGAATATTTCTAGGTCCAGCAGTCGCATTGGTTGCGCTCGCATAACTTTCCCTCGTCTAAAATTAATATTGTTAAATCCGACAGTCGCATTGGTTCGAGTGTTGCCCGCACAAATTTCTTCCGACTATTTAATATATTAAATTGGTGCGTATGAAATGTCGGATTTTTTTTAAATGTGAACGCTTGATTCCCTGTTTTTGTTATGCATTTGTTTTTGACATAACCTGGTTTATAGTCGTACTGTCAATTGCCAGAGTCACATTTTAGAACATTTTTTTAAAAATGTTCCCTTTTGTTATTTGCTTTGAATTTTAAACCGATATGAATTCAACCGATATTCATGTAATTTTCTTATATGAGTATAAATTTGGTAATAATGCTGCAAAAGCTGTACGTAATATAAACCAGGCGTTTGGGGAGAATATTGTGAACGATCGAAAAGTGCAGCGTTGGTTTGAAAAATTTCGGTCTGGTGATTTCTCCCTGCAAAATGAACCGCGTGGAAGACCCGAAAAGTCTCTGAAAAATGATGCTCTGAAAGCATTGGTGGAAACGAATCCAATTGTTTCTTCAAGGGAACTTTCTGCCAGAATGGAAGTTGACCATGAAACAATATTGCGACATCTTTCTGAAATTTGCATGGTGAAAAAAATGGATAAGTGGATACCGCACGAACTAACCGAGCGAAATAAGCTGGATCACTTGAACGTATGCTTATCATTGCTAACCCGATTTAATCGAGATCCATTTTTCGATCGGATCATTACTTGTGATGAAAAATGGGTTCTTTACGACAATAGGAAAAGGTGTGCTCGGTGGCATGATAGGGATGAGGCTTGTGTTCATATTCCGCGACTATCACTTCATCCACGGAAAATTTTAATCACAGTTTGGTGGAATGTGACTGGAAAAATACACTACTCATTCCTTCGAACAGAAATGACAATTACAGCCGAAAAGTATTGCCAGTACATTGAAGAAATGCATGAAAAATTGAAAATTATACGCCCATCACTTGTTAATCGGCATGGCCCAATACTTCTCCACGATAACGCTCGGTCGCAAACATCGTACAAAACAATTGCAAAATTTAATGAATTAAAATATGAAATTTTTCAGCACCCACCATATTCACCAGATCTTTCGCCAATCGACTTTCATTTATTTAAACATTTAGAACTGTTTTTACGTGCTAAACAGTACGAAAATGAAGACAGTGTGAAAAATGCCATATCAGAGTTCATTGATTCTAAAGATCAGAATTTCTTCAAGACAGGCATCTATGCATTAAAATCTCGTTGGGAAAAGTGTATTTAAGTAAATGGAGCATATTCTGATTAAATAAACAGCTTTTGGAAAAAGGTATGCAGAAATATATTCACTTAAGAATCCGACGTTTCATTCGCACCAACTTAATACTTCCCAGACCAGTAGTCGAATTTGTTCACATGTCACTCGACTAACTTACCCTCGAATAGATGGAATGTTAATAGATCCGACCATCGCAATGTTTCGAGAGGCACTCGTATAACATTTCAACGAATAGTCGGAATATTTCTAGGTCCAACAGTCGCATTGGTACCAACGGCACACACATCACTTTCCATCGACTAGTTGGAATATTTCCATGGCCCAAATTCGCATTGGCTAGCAAGTCATTCACATAACTTTGTCTCGATTCTTTGGTATATTTCCAATTCCGACAGTCGCCTTGGTTCGAGAGGCACTCACATAATTTTCGTTCTTCAATTCGGAATATTTCTACATCCTACAGTCGAATTGGTTTGATTGGCACGAGTATAACATTCCCCCGACTAGTTGGACGAATTCCAAGTTCATCAGTCGAATTGGTTCCTTATGCTCTCTCCTAACTTTCCCTCAAGTATTCAGAATAT